TCCGATCTCCCCAAAACCCCAAAACCCCTTTAGGTTAATAATTTGCATATAGAGTGAGTATCTAATTTTCAAATAAAAATATAAACAATTAGCATTATCGACATTGTTCAAGGAAATAATGGAATTAGTTTAAAACAGAATCTACGAAAGAAAAAAAACTGTGGAATCTAAGGTCAACAGTGATGAAGTGACCCTAGATGTGGTTAATGAACTTATCAAATAAGGCCTTGATCGTTAGAATACAAGCAATGATCCGATTGGATTAAATATTCCATCTTCGACTATTTAACGAAATTAAATTAATAACTCAAATAATAATCTTTAATAAAAGCAGCTGAATAATAATCACTAAGATTTGATGAATAATAAAGCACAAATCGATTTCACCAAGGCGACCGAGTCAATCCCTTTGATGTTCCCAGATATCTAAGACAGCAGTAACGTTTCAATCTAAAATAAATAAGTTAATAATTCATTTAAAGGTGGTAGAGGAAGTAAAACTCCAAAAGCAAGCACTTATTAAGATGATGGAATGAAAAAATCTTAAACAAAATCTGAAAGCCTCTAAAAGTTTTCCTAGGAGTAATATAGTTTGAGTAAAGTAAATAGTGAGCAAGTTAAAATTAAATCATAGCCTCTAGGAAAGTTACCAACTAAGAGAGATAAATAACTAGGTGTAATAGATGAAGTAGATGAGTGAAAAACGAATCGAGGATTAAGCAATGACAACTAAAGAACATAACGCAGTAGCATAATGGGGTCTAAAAATGCTAATCAAAAAGAAAAAGCATAAAAGATAATTGAGGAAAAGAAAAATGAACTCCAGAAATTGAGAATGAGGAGATAGGAGCTTGTCAAGAGGTTAAATAAAGCATTAGACAAGTCAAGATTTAAAGTAGAGCAAATTCTTAGGCATCAAGATATTCCTGAAAATAAGAAGATAATTGAAGAAGCAGATTCTGTTGGAATTCAAAAAAAGTACTAATCAAGCGAAAAGGAATAAAGATAGCACGGTCTCCCTCTATACTTTTACATTATGAGAAAGAAGTAAGTAGACTACTAATCTAAAAGTGATTTATCATCCTTGGAAAATTAAAAATGCCTCTATTTCTCCAAGGTCTCTTCTATTTAGAATATATCTTAATGCTTCGAACTTCTAATTTCTAAAATTAATAATTATTATATAGTTTTGAATAAAGTTACCAAGAATTTCTATTGCTCATAACTCATGGGCATTTGCAGTAAGCATATACTCTATGTCTATCAGATGGCTTTATAAAGGCTCATGACTACTAAATAAAAAACATGCTAGTCTTTGAAGAATTCTATAAGAAAAATAACTACGAGTATCCAAAGTAAGTATCTAATGAAAAGTCTCAATAAATACTCATTTTTCCAATTAAATTGAATTCTAAATATATTCAGATTACTAATGGAGAAGAAATAATAAAGTAAGACCTTAATGGGCAAACAAAAGAGTTCAGTATCAGTGAAATATGAACATGGCTATAAGTTTTAAAAGGGTTATCTATTCAATTTTGTCAAAAAGATGATAATGCCATCCGATGAGGAAATAGAAAAGGAAAAAATTAGGCAAAAAAATAAGGAAAAAAATAAAAATCAAACAACTCCAGATGGAAATGATGATAAAAATGGAGAAAAATCAGATCACATTAATGAGAAATCAATTAGTTACAAAAAAATGATGACTAAAAGAATAGCAAGAGAAGAAAACAATCTAACAGAAAGGTAATTACTAGAAAAAAGAATCGAAGAAATGATTATTAAAGACTACAAAGCACATAATAACGGTGCATTGCAAGAATATAACCCTAATGTGACAAATATTGGAAATAAATCAAAATGAGACAACCTTGAATATACCTAGACCTAACTACTAAACACTAAGAGAGGATCTAATAATGTAATTTAGCCAGATCTATAAGATTACGCTCAGCCTTAAAATTAGCAAGAGTTTTAAAACTAAGATCATAAAAATCACTATCTCAATAACAGAAACTCCAAAAGTTTCTACAATCAATCTTATCTTAAAAATATAGTGAAGAATAAATTATATGAGACTAATGATTAAAGCATTATCCTCGCATTGTATCTCATGATTAAAGAAAAAAAGATTCATAATAAGAAGCTCATCAGCATGATTATAGACCAAATGCATGATGAGGTATTGAAATTCTTTGAAATTCAGAAATACATTCCAGCTAATAGGGAAGACTTAAAAGGAAAAGGACCCAATGATATAACGAACTAATTTGATGAAGATAAGCTTACCTCTAGACTAGTTAATCAAGCTTTAAAACTAAATGAGCCAGAAATAGCAATATTGGCAGGAAGGCAATTAGTTAAAAAGACATAAAATCCAATAAATCAACAAGAACATGTTTTTGATTACTTTCATATGAGGAATTTGTTAAGCTCTATTCTCAGAACAAACAGAGATAAAATAGTAATGAGTTAAATAAATATGAAAGGTGAGAGAAAGAATACATTACTGCCTAACATAATTAAATTGGAAAGTGCTTAGCAGGTTGACTTGAACATTCATCTAAATGAGGAATAGAAAAAATCATAATTGCTTGAGCAAAACCGTAAATCAATGATTGAAGAGAGAAATCTTGAAATTAAGGAAAAATTACTAATGCGAGAAAAGAAAAATCAAATCAAGAGTCTAATAAAGTTTATCTGCTACTTCATTAAGACTAAACATACAATAAATTTGTGTTTAATCGATGAAAAGAAGGAAATGGAAAAATTTCCGATAGTTGCATATGATCATTTATACGAGAAAGCATAAGACAACCGTATCCAAGGCAAGCTAAACTTTTTGAACGTGATGCAAATAGCCTGTCAAGTAATGAAATATCATAAAACTCTTGATGATAAAGAATCTAAAAATACTAATGAAACTTGAAGACAGAGCTTGAAAATATTGCATAACGATATTCACAATATTAACGCTTAATATCAATAGAGGAGGTAGTCAAAAGCATAAAAGATAACAAAAAGAGGTCACGAAATGGATAGTGATTTTAAAATAGTGGGAGATGGATCAAGGAAGCATGTTAGCAACTTTGAGGAAGACTATTTTTTGACAAACTTGCTAAAATGGGAAATGCCAAAATAACTTAAAAAGATCAATCCCAGAGTTACTTCTTGCAATAGGTATGTGACTGTCTCAAGGAATGATCCCAAAGAAGTATCTTCTTATTGCTTTGATATAATAAAACTTTGTATTGAATCGAACAAGTCCTATCTAGCTGAGATGGTATTAAAACTTAGAAATAAAGATCAGCATGAAGTAGGGTTTTCATATGGACTAATGGCTGATGATGATAAATAGGAGCTACTTGATGAAGGAGAATGTGAAAGTTTATTCATTATGCTGTTATCTGATCCGAACGGTGAAAAACTAGAATTGCTTCTTGAAATATTCAGATTAAATAAAACTTCAAAATAGGTTCTAAAAAAGATATACTCTTATATTGTCTCTAACAAGCAATCTGAGGAGTAGCAAAAGAATATAAATAACAATAGTTCATTGCTTAAGAAGGGTAGATATATTTATTACTGTGCTGAATTATTGGCTCAAACAGATGTAAAGGAGGTAGAAGAGCACTATTCAAAAGAAATCGCATTGAATTTGGGGAAATTTTGCAAGTCAAATGAACTAAAATATTGCCATTCACCGTTTTTAACCCTAGTATTAATGGCAGAATTTTTGAAAAAGCTCGCCAAAGCTGATGTTCTTCATTAAAATATCTTGCATTCAACTTTGAATACGCTTCTAGATCTTGCATAGAGTATTTAGAAATCTATCAAGAATGAGAAAAGATTCAAGTATATTCATTAATAGAAAGATATTAGAGGTAGAGAGGCTCTTGATATAATAGTCTAAAATTAATTTTATTTGCTTTTGTAGTATGATGATATTGGAATGATAGCTGAAGATCTTTGGAGAGGTCCACCGGTTGTTAGCATATTTGGATGCAGTTCAATTTATAAGTTTATAAAGCTTGAAGTATTTGATGATTAAATTGCTTTATTTAAGCCGATATCTTCAAAAGAAAGTAGATTTATATTCTAGTTTGAGCACTGGAGAAATAGTTGCTAGCATAGATATATAGCAGAATCATTCTCTATCTTTGCTCTTGCCATATTCTATTAAGCTGTAATCATTATAAAATTAATATATTAATGCTATAGATTGTCTATATTTCAATATAAAATAACACAATAGACTCTAATGAAATAGATCCAGATATAGTTCCACTAAAAATTTTGGCATAAATTTGGATTGGATCATCCTTCCTATCTTAGATATTGTAACTGATCTTCACTCTTAAGAGTAAAAAGCTTTTTGAAATTGATCACTGGAGAGCCATAGATATTCTGATGTTTATTATGATTATCATAGACTACTTCAGACTTCATATGTACTTTTATCCACCAGAGAATGATGATAAATTTGACACTGAAGAGGAATCAGATCTTATTCTTCAAAGCTTAAATGCTTATAGAAGACATATAATGAATGCTAGCATTACTTCTTTTATTGTGTTTTTGGTCTGGTTCAGGATAATATCAGTATTAATTACAACATAAAAGCTGGGCCATATGATTTAAGCTATATATTTCATGATAAAGATGACATTGAACTTCTTGATTATCTTTGCATGCTGGTTGATCTGCTGTTCTGCTATATTTACAGCAATATATTATGATTCTGATTCTTCAGATGGAAATTACAGAAGCTTTGCAGTTACAGTAACAACTCTTTTTTCTGCTACTCTTGCAGTTTATGATGACAACTTTACTATTCTGGAGCCTCTTGGCTCAATTTTGATGAGTATGTTTGTTGTAATATCAGCAGTTATGCTTATCAATCTTCTAATTGCCCTACTTACAGAAGCTTATTAAAATATATCCAGAAATGCAGATTCAAGACACAGGGCTATTTTGATTAATTACAGACATAGGTGGTCTTGGAATGACTATCACAGTTATTTAATTTTTGCTCCCCCACCATTAAATGCATTTGCACTACTTATATTGCCATTCGGGCTATTCTTATCAGATAAACCGCTAAAAAGAATGAACAATGCATTTTGTAAAATAGTTTTTATTCTTATCTATGTCTTACCGATGGTAATAGTTTTTTTCGCTTACAACGAAATATTATTTATTTTAGCTTGGTTAAAAGGATTTTACAGCGTCCAATCTCTTCTTTACAAGAAAAAACCAGCTTATAATGCTCTATTGTGGTTATTATTTGGAATATTTATTCTGCAATGGGTTATTATAAAGGATATGTATTATATTCTAGCTATTTCTTTTGAATCAGCAAAACCTAAATCAAAACAACAATAAAAGTATATTTCTTAATCTAAGGGAGAGGAAGATTATGAAATAACTGAGGAATAGAAAAAGGAATAAGATAAGTAGATTTATAAGAATTTCATTGAATCAGTCATAAACTTATTCGATGAGTTGGAATTCAAGAATCATGAACTTAAAATGAGGGAGTAAAGAGACAAAAACTGGAATGATGGCAATTAATAAAAGGGTAAATAAACAACAAAAGTGTTTTTAGATAAGAAAGGTAGAAATAAAAACAGTTTAAGCAATGGCACTATTACTGTCAGGATATTTGCTACAAGATTCTACAGACTCTTAGAGGATAAGGAAGAGCATATTAGGGATGTGAGAAACCCTGCTAGAGCATTGAAGGGCAAGAGAAAGAAGAGACCCAAGATTTTCTAGAATTTTATCCAGGAACAATCAAAGGACGTTTAAGTAGATTTAATGAAATGCTACTTCTTCAAGAAATATGATTACAGAGCCAAGGAAATATTCGAAAGAGCGTATTTTGTTGACTTTAGCAGCATTGAAAAAGCAATTCACAAATTCAGACAAAAGAGTGCCATCTTGAAACAAGGATAGAACCTCAAGAAGATAAATAAGTAAACAGCTGATGTCAAAGATATGCTCGATTAATTCAATAACTACTGTAATATTGGCATAGTCTCAGATCAACTTATCAGTTTAGCCTATATGAAACTCTAATCTGTAATTAGTAGTTCTAGATTAAGTGATACTAACTCAATGATGGGTGATGAGTTGTCTCTCAGCCAATATCCATCTGAAAAAAAGATTGAAAACACAACAAAAACATTGAATTATCAGGCAAATCATACCAAAGAGGAGGAAGAGGAAGAAGAAGATAATGTCAAAAAGGCTATTAAAACTCATGAATCAGACGATGATGTGCATAATATAAACGATTCAGTTAATTCAAATTCATTTACTACTGAGGTAAACGACGACCCAGCCGAATAGAATAAAGAAAATGATAAATTGATGAATTAAGAAAATTCTAATGATGATAAGAAGTAAGATACCTAAAACATCCTTCTTATACAGGATAAACAGGAATGAGATGAAGTGATGATATAAAATAACTAAATTCAAAAAATATTAACTAATAGAAATATTATATTTTCGGGCCATTTGTTGCCATGAAAATAAGTGATTTTATTTTGAAAATAACTAAAAATATTTTTACTTCTTTATTATATTAGAAATTGATCAATTTTTTAATTAATTAAAATTTTAATGGGGTTTTGGGGTTTTGGGGTTTTGGGG